CCGATGTAGAAGCTGACCGGACCGATGTAGCAGACAGTTTATGGGGTCATGTCGGACCGATGTAGAAGACAGTTTACGGGGTCATGTCGGAGGACAAAATTTGTTTTCAAGTGGAGTTTGTGTCAGTTTCCTCTGCTGCTATTAGAGTTCGCATCTTCTCTCTTCTTCACAACAAAATTCAAACACACCATCATCAGAAACAAAGACCGCCAAGCTCGAATGCCTCGCCGGAGTCTCAACGAATGTTTCTAGGGTTCCGGTGTACCTCCTGTTGGTAGGCAGAGTTGATAATCAACTCCTTTGCTCAAAGCAAGCAATTGCATGGCTTCGAAAGAGCGAGAATTGCGAACGAAGCATGTGGCTCGTAAGCCCTAGACGAAAGACAACAATGCAGGTGGGTGGGTTTATAGATCCATGAAATCAGGTTGAGAGATCTAGAAAGTACAGAGAAAAAACAAAAAACAAAAAAGGAAGAGAAAGAGATTGGAAGGTTCTGCTAGAGAGAGAAGAATCAGGCAATGAGGTTTTGAGGAAGAGGATCAAACCCAGTCAAATTTCTCTGATATATGTTTAGGGACCTTAGACATCAAAAAATAATTTTGTGGATCTCTTCCATTACGAAAAGTGGGAGAGGGACCTTCCACCAATTTTCCCTAATAAAATATGAGTAGAAGTTACACCAAATAATTTAACACAAATTTTTGAATAACTTATCTTGTTAGATCTTTAAAAGAGTGAAACTTTTAATAATAAATTTTTTTTAAAAAAAATTCTAATGAACTTGAAGTGACCTAATCATTAGGTCACGTCGTGAGGATCACAAACAAAAGGCAATGAATTTGACGAATTCCATACAAGATGAGAGATGTTTACTACTATTACTTTTTAAAAAAGAGATGTTTATTATTATTTATTGAAAAATGTAAATTCATGAAAATTTTTATAATTTTGTAATAAGATTGGATATGGTATGCAATACATACCCAAAAAAAAAAATTCTTATTTTGTAAACAAATTGGAGAGTAGTTTTGATGGATGAAGAAGTATTGATTGTTCAAATTTTCTTCGCGAGTTTTGAGGTACTTATTGTCAGGTCCACCATCATATGGACTGATACAGAAAAATTAGTGAAAATAAAATTCAAGAGGAAGATGGACTCGGCCCACAAAAGTGTTAAAAAAAAGCCCATATTCTAGTGAGATCAAAGTATGAAAATATATTGGAAGATTTTTTTTCCCAAGCATATTATGGAAATCTAGAAGATTGTAGGATTATTTTTATAATAAAAAAAAATTGGTAGAATATTTTAATTAATAAATTTTGTTGGCCAAGAGAAGTTGCAACAATAAAAAGAATAAAGATGTTTGAGATTACCTTTTCCTTTCATTGGTCAGTTTTTCTTTTTTATTTTTTTTTTTCTTTCTCCTTCAATCACCACCTGTCACGTGTATGTGAGGATAGTAAGGATGGTGATTGGAGGGATCTCTATCAATACTCTAAAAAGAAAGAGACACAAGGAGTTCGAGAAAAACATCTATTATTTGGTTCCTCCACCAAATTTGCATTATGTTTGCACCATAATTCTTTCTACTCTTAGCATTGCTTGTTTCAACATCAACCAACGACGAAGGTAGCCACCATTGGTGGTATTTGGGAACCCCGTGGGTTGGGTTGTTTTAGCTTGTTTGAGGAAAAAAGCAAAGTCGCCTCACTGTAGTTGAGGCTGCAAAGAAGCTGTCCAGCTGGATGCCACTAGAGAGTGAAAAGACTATTTTACCCTTTGGTTAAATATGTCAACATCAAAGCAACAACTGAGAGTACAGGCTCTCATCTCTCTCATCTCTCGCACCCACGGAAGAAAGGGTTTGAAGAACACCATCGTACCTCCCTCTGGCGGATCTCACTCTGGTGAATCTCTTATATAAAGACCACATAGCCGACTGTCTTGCTCGCCGATCGTCGAAGACCTGCGACAGGTAGGGTATACTGACCTCCGATTTCTGTTCTTCTTCTACCTTTTCCAACTTCTTGTTACTGGTTTTTCATACCATTGTTTCAAATCGCACTGTAAATTGGACCCTATTTATGGCATTTTGTTGTTTCATTGCTTGTTTCATATTGTCTCTCATCTAGAACTTCACAATCTCTCTCTTTCTCTTTTCTCTTTTTATGTTGACTGTTACATTAAAAAAATTTATATGGTGATGTAGTTGAAATTCTATACTTAATTCACAAAGCGACACATACTGTGAAAATATAATCAATGGTATTTCAATTGATATTGATAATCATGTAAAATTATTCACTTTCAAGAGGTTATTTGATGGTTTTTCACACTATGGCTTATTTTGACAATATAGTTTTTAGTCACTTTTTTTTTATTAGTAGCAAAAGTTAAAAGTTGACTTTTTTGGTTTTTTTTTTTTCATTTGGGAAGTTGGTTTTTAGCCAACGGTGAAATTACAATTTTACCCTTCATGGGTCAAAATGTGTTACATAGGTGAAGTTGTAAATATTTTAAATAAATGGGGATAATTTAGTCATTTTATTATGATTTGACATCATAAACAAATATTAATCAAAAAAATCAAAAGTCACTTTTTACTAACTTTCCAAATCATTTGTCTAAAAAAGCTAAAAGCTTAGTTAAAAGTCAAAAAATTACTTTTTACCATCTTTCCAAAATAAGCCTATTTATTGCTTAACATTTATGAAGTTGCTGACATTATGTGCTTGGCCAAATAATTTTTGCAATTTCAATTAACATAAACATTATGTACTTGGCATAAGGGTATAACTTTGGCGGATTCAAACCAAACAATCTGAACCTAACTTGATTTGAATTTTTTTAGCACTTGAATAAGATATTTTTAAATTCGGTATGCGCTTAGGCAAAAATTCAAAAACTCAAATTAAATTTGGGTGGGCTTGGGCAAAGACGTCAAACAACCGAGCAATCCGAAACCCAAATTATACATATGTAGATATATAAAAATATTAAATATGCATATAAATTATTAGCCATTACATAATATTAAGTAATTTAAATTATTAAATCATATTGAATATATATTATATATACAAATAATATAATTTTTTTTTATTATTTTCACTCATAAATTGTAAAGAATATTATAGCGGCATCTCTTTTACATTATATAAATAATTTGTTTTGATGGTATTAATGATTTTTTATATAAAAAAAAAATTGTAAATAGAGTCAAATTTTAATAATTTAATTAAAAAAATTTAATTCATTTACAATTTGGATAATTTAGGCAACTCAGTCAATTCAGATTTAACTCGGACCGAGCTTGGACAGGCAATCACAGGTTACAATTCGGGCCTGGACAGATTTCAACACAACTTGAATAAAGGTTGGACAATCTCCCAACCTAACTGAACTCGCCCGAGTTCACCCCTACCTTGTCAAAGACCACCAAATAATTTTCCCAATTTCAATTAATACAGATGTTTTGTTTGGACTAACAGTATAAGGCAATGCAACAAAATATTAGTGTTGTGGTTTGAAATGATGAGTACATTTTAGTAAAGTTTGTATTTGATTAGAAAATTATAAAAGATGATAACTTCTTAAACGATTATTTTGTCCTTTTTAATTTGTTTATTATGACATGTTAAAGTTGAAGTATGTTTTATTTTATTTTATTTGAAGTGTACTTTATTTGATTTTAGGGCAAATTACATATACACCCCTCGAGGTTTGGTTAAATTACAGATACCCCTGAGGTTTCGGAAATTACATCCCGCCCCCTGAGGTTTGTATTTTCATAACAATTTACCCCCTGAGATTTATATTTCATAACAAATTATCCCCTAATTTCTTATGCAAATATAGCATTCAGGGGGGAATTTGTAATTTCTCAAACCTCAGGGGGGTATTTGTAATTTAGCCAAACCTCGAGGGGTGTATATGTAATTTGCCCTAGTAGTTTATAGTCCCTCAACTTCAAGGACTAACTGTTTAAACGAATGAGTTGTCATATGCCAAAGGTCAAGTCAACAATATAAGTTACATGCTAACATTAAGATGTTTGTTGAGGTTGACAAAAACAAAGACATCTATCACTAGTCATTCAAGCTGTAAAACATATCACCACAGCAACAGAAGCCAGCAATCAAGAAACAAGATCAAAGCTTAAAGCAAGGCCTGCAGTTTTAAAAGCATACTCGTTGCAACTTCCATTTATCTAAAATATGAGGGAAAATATAGCATTACTACTACATAGGAACATCTTTCGAAGAGCAGTAACATGCCGCACCGTTTATCCATCATTCTTAAGTTGTTGCTCCATCTCTGCCATTCATTTTCAAACAGGGAGCCCTCTGAACTGTATGCACACAGTTCTCGTGTCCATTTAAAAGCTAATGAATAAGGTCTTGTAACTCTGTTTGCATTACAAAGGCAAAAGCTAAAGAATAAGAGGTGTGGGCTTGTGAAGTTGGAGAAGAAGGATGTCACATAGAACAGTAAAAGAGTTCTTGTCCTCTCTCTTCAGGATGTGAACGACAAGAAAGTACACGATGCAAAAATATATATATATATATACATGTTGCAAACCTAATTCCTTTAAAGACTTACCAAAGCGACATTCATGCTTTCAAACTCTTCCATCAAATGTCCACAAGTTGTCTTGATCGGCAGCCAGAGAATTTCGTCTCCGCGTCGAACAAATACTCTCTGATTCCCAGTACAAATTATTTTGATGCGAAGTACATTCAGAAAAGTTTGGTATTCCAAACTATAAAAGAACCCCTTCGCTCGAATTCACATGGTTGAAAACCACTCATGGCCTTCCCCATCAGAGCCATAGCAGCAATGCTCGGAAACTGCTTCCTTCGAAGCTCATCGAATTCCATCTTCGTACTCTGTGGCTCGCAAACCACCTTCTTCTGACGAGTTGCAGCTCGATTATCACACCACCTTTGTATCCAAGGATGGGAAAGCAATATGTCTCGATCTTTCTTTGTTGATTCCACAGAAGAGGGCTCACCAATTCGTAATACAATTGCAGTCTGATCTGTGGCCATCTTTTCTTTGTCATGATATTTACGGACCATTGGTTCTGAGTTGCTACTTTTGCAGCCTTCCAGACTTTTGATGAATAACTTATTTACCTTTTCATGAGACAAAGCAGCTTCTCCCAAATTTGAGCTTTTGGTGCCAAGTACAAATCTATCTGAAGCTGAAGCAGTCAGCTTCAGACGCTTAAGCCATCTGTTGCTTGGCTCATCATCTGGGTAAGGAATTGATTTTGCTTTACCCGGATGCTCGGTATGGGAAAGAAGAAGTTCTGCATCCAAACTCTGAGTTCTTGAAGTGCTTGCCTCTGCATTGTCCATTGAGTTCAGTGTAGTTGGAAGAGCCAGAATTTCTTCATTTATATCAGGTAACTCGGATCTGTGTCCGACTTTCACTCCTGTTGATGTAATTGTAGGTTGAGATGGTGGATTTTGGCCCATCAAAAAATCCTGCGAAATAAAAAGCTTGTCAGGGTCCTAACCAATCTCATGATCTTCTGTGAAGCAATTTTATATATGGCAGAGCCTGAGAAGCAAGCACGGTAATGAAATAGTTTCTAAAACAGCTGAATTTTTTCCCAGGCAACCAAGAAACATCATCAGACATGTCATTGGATGAATTTACAGGGGTCTGGCTCTTCTACAACTATTTGCTACAATCTTGTAACAAGGTTGCCCTGTCCCTGACTTAGAGCATATTATGCTACCCTCCTACAAAACTAATTACTACTTCTCATTATGTGACAATGCAAATTACTACTAGAGCAAATTATGCTACCCTCATTCTACAAAACTAATTATCCAGTAAACCTGTATGGCTGGGTGTAACACCGCACATTATTCCTCGTAATGATTCACATCATCTACCATGTAAGCCCCAAACAAACCTCATGTTCATGGACCAAAAATAATGTCAAACAAACCAAACCAAACTTATAGAGAACCACATTGTTATTACTTTTCCGTCATTCATCTCGTGCACTCCACCACCCATAAGATAAATAATAAATTGCCTATCAGCAATTTGATGACATTCACACAAGGTGTATGTGAATGCACCTTCACACAAGCATATGCACATGCATACAGACAAGAGTAAATAAGGAGCAAATGCATAGCAAGAGGACACATAATTTTAAAAAATCAAAGAAACAGCTGGACTAACCTTATTTGAGGGGGAAGAACTTACACCTGAAACAATCAAAACCAAAAAAATGAATGTGTTAGGCATAACACTCATGAAAAGTAATGTAGTTCCTCGACAATAACCTAGCAAGACCATAGTTATTTTCCATCACAAATTTTCTCCTATCAACATTATAGGAAATGTGCTTCAAATAAATCACAAAGATATGGTGGAGTGAATACATACCAGAAAGATAATTATGGTCCTTGAAAGCATCCGTGTCCATGGTATCAGTCTCGGCAGATGATTCATTCTTTGAACGAACTTCAGATGTTTCAACACCTTCAACATTATCTTTTCCCTCACACTCAGTGGAGCTACCAAGTGGCTGAAGCTTCAATCTTTGTTGATTCTGAGCCAAAGGTGGAGATAAAGTGAGGAGTTCACCAAACATATTTCTGTTTAATTTAGAAGATACTCTTGACTCTCTGTATGTCTGATTCTCTTCGGACAAATTAACATCGGTCTTTTTCATGAATAACAAACTACGAGTTGTCTGAGAAAATGCACCAGGATCTCCAGATAACCCCTCCACAGAATTTGTGGCACAAATTCTCAGAGTCTCCACATCATGAATAGAATTTGCTATCATTGCTTCTGGGGGATTGCTACAGCTCGGAAAAAATCCAGTACTTGAACAATTTTGCATCTTCTGGCAGCGTTCAACAAGCATTGGCAAATGATAATTATCCTGAAGTAACCGGGATGCATCAGTCTGCCTTAAAAATGAAGTTCCAGACTTCACACAGGTTGAGTGGTTATCCACTTTCTTCCCACAAACCAAAAGTGCAGGATGGCCGAGATAGTTATCATGTTCGTGTTCCAAAGTTGTGAAATTAGTATTTGATAAGTGCTCTTTGGATACTAATCTACTCATGAAGGATGATGACACTGGAGTTTTTCCTTTTTCGGATCTATATGGCACCATCTGAGTTGACCCAATAAAATTGTTCTGAGGCCCTGCAAGAGCCAAGCTTCCATCTCCAACAACTTTAGGTGACTTCACAAGCCCTTCAGGACTTAGTGAGACTCCTTCATACTGAAACTCTCTTGGTGAGGATTCTATTGCAGAAGGAGCCACGGCAAGTACCGAAGGAAAATGGCCCGCAGTTGTGCAAGCATTGTACTCAACGTTGCAGTCAATTTGAGGCCTTGATACTTGCTTGTGGCAAGAAATGTCCAAGTCATTCTTCGAATCCAATCCACTACTAATATTTTGAGAAACTCTAAACATTGGAAATTGTTGGGAATCTAACTGTTCATCTATCATGTTTTTTGAATTCGTCAAACCATCATTCACGATTCTAACTGTTCTGGCTTCAGTTACTTCAGTAAATCCCTTAACAGATGGAGAAATATCAGAAGCTCTCTCTAAATCACTCGGTAAGTGGTGCTTGTTAGAATTACTGTTATCTTTGTTCTCAAGACGAAGAGATACACGGTTATCATCTGGAGGTGCTTCCTTACAGCTTGTTCGTGTCCAATGTGCCATCCAAACAGATTGATAGGAACGCATAGATTGGCCGGCGCTCCCATCACCATCATGACATGATTGTACAATACGATCAGACATAATGAGTTAACTGTATCACTACCGTTTCAGTATAATTTGTTCCCCTTTCAATGGCTCATCGGATTTTCTAAATTTTTACCTGGAAAAAGATCTTTCGAATTTAGCGTAGTGTTCAATCAGAAAACCAATCAGATCTATATAAAATTAGTATAACATTTAATAATGACAGAAGCATGTAAACCACTTTGTCTGATTGTCTCAACTACTCCAAAAAAATGAAGAGATCTACAGCTGAAGTTATTGGATGCTTGTATTGTACAAAACAATTCAATAATGGCTTAGTTTTGTTTGACAAATAGTCCATCTGCTTTTGCAGATATTTTTGTGCAGCTGGCATACACTTTCACCCCCTCCATACACGTGTATGGAGGGATTGCCCTCTTGTTAGCTTCCTTTGGAAGCTTTACAAGACCATTTGTCTACAAAAGAGAAGCTCTTCTCTCTTGTTCAGAGGTTAGACAATTTAGACAACATTTTCAGAGAGCTTTGAGTTTTAGGGTTTGAGTGTTGCATCTATCCTATCTCTATTTCTCCCTCTCTTTAGCTCTAAGTGTGTGTTTAGTCTTATTATTGCACACAAACACATAGTATCACACATTTTCTTGGTAGCTGAGGGCTAGAGAAGTGTTCTTGGAGTTCTTGGAGCTGGTTTGGAGCCAAAGAAGCTGCTGGAGCTTCATTTGTGAAGTGGGTCTACAAGGGTAAGAAACTTGTCCCTTTTTACCCTATTTTTGCATAGCTCTTTTGACTACCTTAAAACTGTTTTTTAGACTTGGTGTATAACATATAAAAGTTTTGTTTTTTCTTGCTCTAAATAGTTGTTTAAGAGTGTTTTGGTGTTTGAGGTTGTTTGACCCCTCTTAAGGCTTGTTTAGCCCCATTTTGTGCCTTTTTTGGTGAGCTCCGGGACCATACTGTTTGGGCCTCCTCACCACTAAAATCTTGAGGGATTTCAATGGTGAGGATGGTGCCTTGAGGTCCCAAGAAGGAGAGGGCCACCCCCTCTCCTTGTTGTCCTTAAAAAGGGCCATTTTTAGCCTCTCGAGGGATCATATAGTTTGAGTATGTATTGACCATGCCTTGACTGATTTTCAGGCTTATTATGTCATAATATAGCATTGTTGTATGTTGGTTTTGGTACACCATACTTGTCTAGCATACATACCTTGTAATGCTATGATTTGCCTCAATACATGCATAGCATTTAGACCACCATGCTTTTGTGTTTTGGCCAAGCTTTGTGAAGCTTATATGCATATTTTGATGTGCTAAGGGACTGTTTTAAGTCATTTGAGTCATCCATACCTTGCTTTGTATAGCTACCATGTAATCCCTCTTGTATGCCTTAAGCTTTGGCCCTTCTAGCATGCCATCTTTGCTTTGTTTCAGTGGTTTGGAACCACTTGACATGTTATTTCAGACCTCATGATGTGCCCATATGCTTGCATTTGATCTCCCTTCAATGTGTTTAAAAGTTGTTGCCTTATGCCCCTTGTTTAGGCTTTGGAGTATGCTTGCATTCTTAGACCACTTAGATGCCATCTAAGTACATCCTTAGCTTTGTTTAGGTCTGCATTAGACCTATTTTAAGTCCCTTTGGCCTTGTGAGGCTTGGTTGACCTAGCCTTGGTTTACCTCCCCTTTGGCTTGCCTTAAGTCTTGGACCATTGTTGCATGTTTGGCTTGCCTTATTTACTTGATTTGGCACCTTTATAACATGTTTTTCAGAGCTTTATGTGCATGCCATTAATCCATGTTTTGTCACTTTTAAGTGTGCTTAAAGGTTGCATGTTTGATGCTTGAATGTTGGCCCATTAGCATGTGCATGTGTGTGTGTGTGTGTGTTGGCCCTTATTTCCATAGCATTGGCTACTGTTTTGGACCTAGTTTAGGGCTGTCCAATTAGTGTAAGTCCCTTCCTTGCATGCCATTCAAATGTCATTACATTATTCCATGGTTGCATGCTTTGGTTGCATGTGTTGCATGCTTAAAATCACTTGCATTGGGTATGCATCCTCTTGGTCAAGTTGTTAGCATATTTGTATGACTTGCATGTTTACATGGTTGAGTTGCACATTGCATACTTGATTAGCTTACATGGATTGCATGCCTAGTAAGCATTGTGCATTGCATCTCCATGTTACACACTTAGGCTCACATGCTTAGGTTGCATTGTACTAGCATGCATGCTTGGCCTCTTGAATTGCTTGTGATAGAGGTTGAGTTCAATTTGTTTGTTTATGTGCATTGCATGACATTTGAAATGAAAATGCACAACTTGGTCTCTTGGGCCATCACGCATTGAAATGCGCGATTGGTGATCCGAGAACCAAGGGCCGTATCCCTTTGAGTCACAAACATGACAAGGGATGTGTCGGTGCACACATTCGCTTGAATTGCATTTCCATGCAAAGCTTTGCCCTCTACTGCTGTCAAACAGGTCCTGCAGGAATTTTTGGCCGATCGACTACACAGAGTGCCGACCGGCCATCCATCAGTGGCCGATGGATTCATCTTTAGCCGATGACCACCAAATCACAGCCGGTGATGATCCCCCTTGGCCGGTGGCATTCCCCAACATCCAGTGAGAATATCCTGAGACTTTGGCAGTTTTCAGAGGAGTATAGTAGGGAAAACAGAGGCAGCTTGCGCATGGCAGTGGACTTCCGAGCAAGACCGAGCATGCATTGCATTGGGCTCTTTTCCCGAGGCCGTTTATCGCTTTCTTAGATTAGTTGATTTGCTTAACTAATTTAGTTGGTTTGTAATAATTAATTAGCTAGGTTGGTTTGTTATTCGGACTGTATTATTCTTTCGGACCCTCCGAGCGAGGGCAATTGTGTAATAAGTGTGGGTACGTGTGTGCATGTCTTCTAACCCCCGCTTCTTGCTCCCTTTTACTTACCTGTTTTGATGGTTAGTATTAGGACATGTTTACTTTAGCATACCTTATGCTACGCATGCGTGCATCATTCATCAGTATTGCAGGCACCGGGCTCGGCACATCATGCTAACTGTATCGTATTTCAAATCTGACTTGAATACATGCTACTTGCCGCACTTTACATGACATTTTAGGATTAGCCAAGCCTATCCTAATTGCATTTTGTATGCGTTGCATTAGCCACTTTTAACATGAGTTAGGATCACGCATGTTTGCTAACTAGTTTATTTTTTTGGCACAAAGTACATTGTAAGTATTTATGCTTTAGCATCTCGCATACGTATGAATGTTAACATAATTGTACGATTACCATGAGGCTAGCTGCTTATGTGATATAACTGCTTGAATGCCTGTGGATGAAGGTCGAATTGCTTAAGTTGGGATAATTCATTAAAACTGTAAGTTTTAAGCCCACTAGATAGTGGCAAAACCATCTTTTCTAAAACCCACTTGAGGGTGGCAAAACCTACATTTTAGCCTATTTGCGAGTAGCAAACCATTTTCAAAACGAACATGCTATGTTTTGTTCCAATTTAAGCGATTTGGTCTATACTTGTTTGCTGTGCGCATAACATAGTAATTCTAGGCTAATAACCGAAATAAGAACACATAACATTTTCAAAATTGGATATCATGGTTAGTAGAGGCCGATCTTTGGATCGGGCGAGAGTGGGTGCTCATAGCTGACCTTCCCCAATCGTACCCAAGTTCCCGAGCCGAGGCAACTTTGGTGATGACGGACACGTGGCCTTTGGCACCGAGTCAGGGTTTCCTAAATTTCCCCAAAATAAAATATTTAGGTGGCGACTCTGTATCTGGCAAAGTAGTCCACGTTTGGCACTTCTTTCAAAAATCTGTTTTCTCAAAACGATTTGCCGGATTTGGATTCTTTGGTTCAGATTAAGAACCGTGACACAAACTGAGTCCGAACTGTAGCGAGGCCCGCGAGCGCGTCTACAGTTTCTGGCGACTCCGCTGGGGATTTAGAGAGCTTGACTCGAACTCGTAATATCCTGTTTTGATTTCATTTATGTGTCTCTTTGCATTGCATGTGCATTGGTGCGCCTAGGACACCGTGTTTGCCATCTGCCATTCCTGAACGGTTTGCCGGAGGCTTGACTTTGTCAAAGCATGCCATAAGACTGACCGGTTGTGGGCTCTAACAGTATGGGAACACAAACCCCGATTTTACCGGGGCACCCTTTTCGACCATTCGGCCTAGTGCATATCGAAATCCATAGTGACCATTCCAAACTAGGACAAGTTGCTTACCCGATTATAGGTTGTTTGAAACCGCTGCGTGCGTAGTGAAACCCTAGCTCCTGACAAAATAGGACAGGGAAACCCTACCCCAACATAGGGGTGTTTTGGTTCTCACTTATCTGCTATGTGCTTTAGAGTGTATCTCTGCAGGGAATGCATATACCAGTTTGCAAGTTTGAGAATTAGGCCCGAGGGCATCAGTATCAGTGTTTTGGGGAATCAGTTGTATCTGCGGGTATCAGATTCAGTGTTTTGGGCAGTGATTTTTGAGGACAGTGATCAGTGGTAAAATACAGTTATTCAGCTGCCCTTGTGTCGATTCAGTTGGGCTGAAATGCTGCATGTTTTTTCTTTCAGTTCAGAGAGTTGATACAGAATAGCCAGTGTTCTCCCTTGCTGAGGCAAGACAGATATCTGAGCCGTCAATCACCGTTTAGTACAGTGGACTTACCATGGCGCAGAATTCAGAGGAAATTGTGGTAATGACAGCCGCGCTAGATCAAGGAACCAACCTGCGGGATGAAGCTAATGTTAGTGTGCCACACCCGCCTAGGTCACCGGTTGCGCACCCGGTCTGGACACCCCAGCTATATCAGGCTCGCGAGCCTACTACATTTGAACTAATGGGGATGATCGGTGACCTCCAGAGGTCTGTGGCTGATCTTGCTTATGGGATGTCGGCTTCGCCACCAACCACCTCATATGCCGGAAATTTTGTACCACAAGAGCCCCCGCTACTGGGGCAGATTGTGATTGAGCTCAGCCAACCTGAGGCTGTCTCAAGTTGTAACAATGACGTATCAACATCAACCCAAACCCTCGATCAGGCTGAGGCTAGGGGTAAGGAC